TGTGGAAGAAATTACAAAAATGAAATGGCACTGGGCAGGTCAGGTAGCCCGATATAATGACAACAGGTGGACACAGAGAAACGACAACAAGAAACATGAGAAGACCTCAAAAAAGACGGGTAGCTGACATAAAAGCAGTGGCAGGCAAACAGTGTATTAGATTAACGCAAGATAGAGAACAATGGAAGCAATTGGGAGAGACCTACATTTAGGAGTGGATGGAAAATGGTTGACAAAGAAGATATGGCGATCTCTGCTGTCTAGATCATTTGATTTTGATATTTTCATCAGTTCGTCATGTTTTATTTTATCGAACGCTTTCTGGTAATCAACAAAACACACATATTATATATTACAATTCACGTCTCTACATCTTTGAAAGAGAACTTGTATTTCAAAAAGTGCCACTCGAGTACCCAATGCGTCCCTGAAGCCTAATTGTGTATTTTTCATGTGTTCTTTACATTTTTTATATACAGTGATGAGTGCCATATCACCCGGCTTTTTAACGTAAGAGATAGAAAACACAGTTACCTTGTGAAATAAAATGAGATGAAACTCGTAGAGGTGGGAAATAATCGATAGAAACCTATAATTTACATTACATTACATTACGCACTATCGATAGTCTCACACCTTTAGACGTTACCTTCGATCCAAATCACCTCGGTCACAATTATTATGTTTGACGGCGTATGTGTGACGTATTTCCATTTTTTAATTTAGATAAAGTAAAAACTGATTCACCACAATAAAGCAAAAATGTGAATAAAATAATTTAATTAATAGTGATTACTTATTCTAAAGTTTTAAATTATTAACCAAGAATAATTTCTACTATGACTTGAGGAGTTTCACACACTCTTGTCACAGAATAATTAGCAATCCTTCGTAGATTAGTGGTAAAAATTCGACTCTGCGATGCAGATGATTAGAGTTCAAAACCTACATGAGGTTTTCTTTTTTCTTTTTTTAATAATCTGAAATTTTGCAGAGATCGTTTTGCTTTGAATCACTAAACATTTATGTCAGTCGTTAGTAGTATTTGAAATGTTTAAAGTTAAACCTAAATATCTTATTGAAAAAATAGTGTCGTCGTACTTTCGAAACTAAAGTAAAATTCTTCAAAATTAAAAGAATGTTCAAATAAGTAAAAATTTTACAAAAATAAAAAAATATTGTAAATAAACGTATCTACAATATGTTCAAATAAACCTTTATTAGCAGCAGAATAATAACCCAAACTGTCACTAAAAATTATAAAAGTCTGATACCTCAGGGCTTAAGGCACGATGTACTCATGCAGGCGGTTAGGGTTCAAAGCCTACAAAAAGTTTTTACTTTTTTAAAAATTTGAAATTATGCAGATATTATATCGTTTTGCTTTAAATCATAAAACATTTATTTCAGTCTTTATTAGAAGTGTTTATAGTAAAACATGAAAATCTTATTGAAAAAACAATGTATGTACTTTCGAAAATAAAGTAAAAATTCTTCAAACATAAAAGAACGTTCTAAATAAATGTACTTACAAAAAATGTTTAAATAAGCAGAAATTCTATAAAAATATTCTAAATAAACGTATTTTATTCTAATGAAATGTATTTACAAAAAATGTTCAAATAAGCCTCCATTAGCAGCAGAACAATAACCCAAACTATTATAAAAGTTTCGTACATTAATTAATGTTTCTGGACTAATACCTCTCATTGAATCAAAGATCTTTTCTTTTAATTCTTGGAGAGAATTAGGCCTATCGTCTTCAATTCGATATATTTTGGACTTGATATATCCCCACATAAAAAAATCACAAGGTGCAAGATCAGGTGATCTTGCAGGCCAAAAAATATCTCCGTGTCCACTAATCAATCGATTAGGAAAAGTCGCACTGAGATATTCACTGACGATGCGAGAATTATGTGCAGGACAACCATCGTGTTGAAACCATAAGGAATCAAAAGGAAATTGTAAATTACGAAGGGCTGGGACAATTTGATTTTGCAGAAGTTCCAAGTATTTCCGCCCAGTCAACATACCGTCTATAAAAAATGGACCAATGACATGATTCCCTATTATGCCTCCCCAAACATTTACTTTTTGAGGACGCTGGGTACCAGCAACATAAATCTGACGAGGATTTCCTCGCGACCAATACCGAGCATTCATTAAATTGTGACGGCCATGCAATGAAAACGTACATTCATCGGTGAACAAGACGTTCTCTAAAAAATGTTCATCTTGATGTGACATTTCCATTGCAGTTTGACAAAATTCTAAACGTCTATATTGATCCCCAGGGAATTGTTCGTTGGATTTATGAAGTTTATAGGGTCGGTATCCATGTCTTTTCAAAATTTTACCAACTCTAAATCTTGAAATTCCATATTGTTCTTCGAGACGAGATGTTGATTGGGTAGGATTTTGCTCAATACTTGCACAAATCAAAGTGTCTCTTAGTTCCAAATGTGGATTTACCTCCCTTTCGCCTACGAACTCCTCTTGGAGCGAACACGGATCCATAAGTGAAAAAATTACGTATAATAGATTGAATTGTTGATCGTGATGGAGCCGGCCTATTTGGAAACATATTTACAAATTGTTGTCTAATCATGTTGTCTGAGAATCCATTCACATGCCAGACAACAATTTGCACTTTTTCCTCGACCCTTAAAACCATTTTCACGAATTGTTTTTTCAATAAAAAGTTTCTGTTTACCGTGCAAAAACACTTCTCGATATGTTATTATTTGGTGGCTTAAAGGCTTCGCTTCGCGCGCATCCATTCCAATGTTGTCAATTGTTTTGAAAATCATTATCTTTACAGAGGAATCCGTACAGATTGTTATAAAAGTCACTGTTGGTGTATTTTTCCACTTTGGTATATATTGTTGAAGACCAAGGTAAGTCTTTTTACTTCGTCTTTATTCATAATTTTCAAAAATTCTGAGTAGAACTCATCTGGTACTGCGGCTTTTCCTTTCTTAATGTTGTTTATTGCAGCTTCTACTTCCGCTTCGAGAATCGGTGGTCCGATATCATCATTTTTATTTTGTGTGATGGTGACATTCCTATCGTCTTCAAATGTTGTTCTCACATAGTTCATACATGTTGTTTTGGTTTTTTCAATATCAACTATTGGATTTCCTTAAGCGTCTGTTAAGTATCCCGGCGTTTTTGATTTATAGATGCCTGCTGCTTCTTTGTCTTTTTGTGGAGGTTGAAGCAATCATGTTTACGTTCCAATATCTCAATTTCTTCACACTGTTCTTCCAGATTTCTATTTTTAGCTTCTCTGACAGCTTTTTTTATCTCTTTGTCTATAAATTGATATGCAACGTAGTCCTTCCGCCTGGATTTTCTTCTTCTGCCCATTATCTGTAATATACCATCGGTCATCCATGGTTTTTCTTTTCTGTCTTCTTCGTATTGGTCTAATCTTTTCTTTCCAATGTTTTCTAAGTGGCTTATGTCTGTGTAACATGATTAACTACTCCTGTCTGTTGTTCTTCAGATATTTCCGTACTTCTTGCTTTATATAATAATCTCTTAGTTGTTGGAGTTCGTATCTTATAGGATTAGGTTTGTGGATTTTTTTTTAAATATCAGACGAAACTTAGCGACAAGTGGGTTATGGTCTGACTTAATATCTGCACTAGGGTTAGTTTTCACTGATCTTATTAACTTTTTAAATCTAATCTGGTTTCTTATAAGATTTTCTGGCGTATCACCGGGTGAGCGCTACGTGTACAACCTTCTGTATGTTAATTTGAAGAGTGTATTGGTATTACCAACTCTTCTTCCGTAGCAAATATGAGTAGGCGTTCTCCTCTTTCATTTTGCTCACCCAGACATCATGAACCTTCTACTTCACCATAACTACACTTACCGATTTTGGCATTAAAGTCACCCATAACTAGCGTTACTTCATTGGTTTTTAACTTACTTATGAGTTTTCTTAAATCGTAATAAAATGCTTCTATTACTTCGTCTGATTTGTCTAATGTGGTTACGTATATTTGGATTATGTTGGTTATTGCTGGAAATAAAACCAATTGAATGAGCATGATTCTCTCGGATATTGGAACAACATTCGTAACGTATTTGTTTATTTGTATATTTAAAATTATTCTGACGCCATGCTTATGTTGACCTTTTTTATTTCCAGAGTAATATACTTGGTGCTGGTTTATTTGACATTTTCCGGCATAAGGGCATCCTATTTCACTAATGCCCATTATATCGATATTCAGTCTTTCCATTTTATGGATGGCATTATAAATTTTGCTTGTTTTGTACATGGTCTTGACGCTCCAGATGTATTTTAATAAACTGCTTAATTTTTCTAGGCGTATCCTTTCCTTTTGTTTGGGAGTTTCGCTTGCTAACGACCTGGGAGGCCCCGTGGTTCTGTGTTGTTATTCCTCCCCGTCGGATCTTGCACTCCAATATACATGATCAGTAGTCTTCACTCTCAAAGCTGTAGCCATGATAGATGTACAAGAGATATCCATATGGATCTGTAATGTAGTGGTTTCTCCTTGCTTTCTATATCCTTACACGTTGACCTAGTTCTCGGTTCATCCGCCTTTAGAGCCAGTTTCCCAACCCTAGGACAAAAGAGTGCCCTACCACTTACCAACTCATCTGCCCGATATTACCATTGGTAGGTAAGTGGGGGATTGCTTTAGGGTTTTTTTTGCATATTTTATTTATTATATAGGTATGTTATCACCAAATTTATCCAAAGCAGTAATTAGATAGTTGTATCAACGAATGTCAAATGAAGATCTTTAGTTTTCTGGTCTAGAACTTGAACTCTGACTATAGATCTGTGTACAAATTTTTAAATAGTCTGATTCATTGGCTATCCCAAGGGCAAAACAGAAAAAAAATTAAAAGTCAATAATAGTTATGATACACAAAATCCATAAAAAAAAATAGTAGTGCAATACTATTATGAGATATAAACGTAATATCTGTAGTACTGCTACTATACATACCTGTTGATAGATTTAATATTGGGACATTCCTCGCCAATGACCACCGCAGCACATTCTCAATCGTCTTATTCTTTTCATTTTCCATTAAGTCATCATTCTGAAGTTCTTCAACGTTTCTTCTTTCCTGCTGATGTTGCATCGTCTCAAAGTATTCCTCCGTCCTACGTGTGAGAGGAATAATAACGGTCTGTTCTCTAATCGTGGCGGTTGGTTCGTACATATGATGACCAAATTGTTCCATAGTGCTGGTACCATGTCGACCGGTAAGCTCCATAATACCTATTTGTGTTGTTCGGACATGATATGGAAAGTTTTTGTTTGCAACGGACGGCATAGTTAAAATCTATAATTAGGAAATAATAATTAAAGGCAGGTCTATAATAACTCAATATTTTCCGTATGAACTATTTTTTAATAAACATTTTGCCTTCGGCTGTTTTGACGTAAACTTATTTGTATAGGGTATAGTTTGTACAAGGTATCAAAGAAAGATGGCGAGGAAGAAATGAGAAGAATATGTCACGGAAGAAGGAAAACGTAAAAATGCTAAAGAACTCGTAGTTCGACTATGTTCGTGCAAAATGAAGTATCATATGAAAATTTTCAATGAACGAAAACAAAGCATCTTTAAAAATTACTTTTCGCTTAACTGGTAAATGAAAAATGCTTTTATTCAAGGTCAAATAAAAGTAAAAGACAAAAAGAGAACTTATACTTAAAATCAAAATTCACGTAGGTCTAAAACTCGTGTACATACTTTACAGAATAAAAATGGTTGTGATCAAGTGGTATGTAAAAACTTTTTTAAAGACACAGTTTCCGTTACAGATAAAAAAATTTCATTAGCTTTAGCAGGAAAACAAGAACATGGGACACCCCTTCAAGATGCAATGGGCAAACATCTACCCCATAATAAAACTAATATTGAAGACGAGCAGTATTTATGTGGCTTCATTGAACTGTTCTCAGCATACGAATATCACTACTCCCGACGAGATAACATAAAAAGGAAATATCTTTCACCAACTTTGAACATGTCGATCATGTATCGAGAGTATGAAAAAAAATGCAAAGAATACTTAAGAAAATCCCTCTTATTGTTTTCCCTTTCGCAGAATTTTTAACACCAAGTTTAATTTGCATTTTCATGCACCACATAAAGTTACTTATCAAAAGTGTGAAAGTCTTAATACTGATAAAAATCATCTGATACTTCAGAACAGCATAAACAGGATGCAAAAGTTGAATTAGAATTAGATCAAAGAACAGCAGATGCAGTTAGAAAAAACAAAAAGCAAAAATATAAAATATAATTAAAGCAAAAGAATCACAGCAAAAAATATCAGTTTTAGTCTTTGATCTTCAGAAAACGCTCCCTCATCATCATCATCACAGTCATTAACATCTTAGTAGATGTGTTGTGGTTCATAATTGGGCTTTAGCAGCTCGGACAGTTTGATTGATAATATTTCTCCACTGTTCGCGGTCATCAGTTATATGTATTGCCTCAGTATACTGTTTATTGAGAAGCTTTTTAGTAATGTCCGCCCATCGCTGTGGAGATCTTCCGCGTTGGCGTTGAGTCTGAGGCCTTCCTTGGACCACCAACCGCTCCATTTTGTGATCACTTCGATGGCCAAAGAACTTTAAAATTCTAGAGTAAACGGTACTGGAGAGACGTTGATCCGGTTTAATTTCATCCAGAACCGAGATATTTGTACGGCGAGCCGTCCATGAAATTCGAAGCAGGCGTCTCCATGTCCACATTTCAAAGGCGTCTATACGTCGTCGATCTGATTCTTTGACTGTCCATGTCTCGCATGCATAGTAAAATATGGAAAAGACCAGAGTTGAAACGAGTCTCTTTTTGTTTGTCATAGTAATGTGACGATCACGCCAGACCCCGTTTAGTTCACTCATTGCTGCTTTTGCTAGTTGAATGTGTCTTCTAATTTCGGATTCACAACTGCCTGTGTTGTTAACTAGAGCTCCAAGATATATCATAGATGAGACTACCTCGCATCCCGTAATAGTTTGGGTTTCAGGAAACTGTTGTTGGCGATCAATAACCATGATTTTGGTTTTGTTGTAGTTAACCATGAGTCCAAATTTAGCACTTTCTACCTCGAGTTTTTTTAATAATCTAGTAATTTCTTCTGGAGTAGAGGCTAGAAGTGTAGTGTCGTCTGCGAAACGCAAGTTAGATATCTTAATCCTAATCTTAAACGCCTTAATCCACCTTAATCTTAAACGCTCCCTACTCCTGAGTTAAGTACAGTTTATAATAAGAGACAACTGTGAACATATAATTTGAGCATCCATGATAAAGTCACATAAACAGAACACATGTATGTCTGACCTGAAAATGTCGCATCCCGAGGAGCTCAAGAGATAGCTTCATGCTTAATAAACGATCTTGAGGCGTACTTACCTGACCCAACCGAATATTTGATTTTGTATAGTGATGCTTGTGGGGGCAAAAATCAGAACCTAAAGGTGGCTTTAATGTTAAGCAATTACCTTTAAAAGTGTAAATCGTCACTCAAAGTTATAGAACAAAGATTTTTTGTATCTGGACATAGTTTTAATATATGCGATCAAGATTTTGGGTTGATTGGAAAGGAGAGAAAACTCCATGATCGAATTTTTGATCCCGATGATTGAATTTTCATAATTTAATCGGCCAAAAAAATAAATCTAAAATTTCAGTTCAAAAGAATGAACTCACTAGAGTTGTTTAGTAGCAAGTCCCTTGAGAATAAGATAAAAAATAGAAAAGTTACCATAACTGGTGAAAAAATTGAATGTTTTAAAATTCAACAAATAAGGTATCTTAAAAATGAACAAAAAAAATTATGTAAAATATACAGAACAGGACATGGGTTTATTTGATGAGGTTTATTTAAGCAAGAAAACCAAAGGCCGCCCATCATCATCTACTGTAATGCACAACCTAGATATTCTGTATCCAAATATATTCCACAGCTTTTATTCTAGATTGAATGATAGTTCCGATGCATTAGATGAGGGCTTAAAAGAAGCAATTATACATGAAAATTAAAAATACCCACTAGAATAAGTTTTTAGCTTATAAGTTGGAGATTTTTTCTTAAATGTTGTTTTAAGATATTAGCCTTTCCTTAAGAAAATAAAGTGTTACATTTTTTTATGATAAAAATTGTATTTTTTATTTAAAATTTACTTTGACACAATTTATCACAAAAACTCCACTTTGTGGCTTAGTCACCTTTGCTTCTGAGCCACTCATATGGTTCTCCTGTTATAGATATATACTTGCGTCACTTAAGGGTTTATCGTACTTTTTCCATCCCCTAAGAAAGTTTTGTGAAAGGTGAACAAAATTCTGTGTACTGTTTCTAAGGACTCTTGGCTTTGGTCAGGAATGTTTTCTGCTGTGGTTGGATTCTGTTTACCTTTTTCGTTTTTTAGTTTTCGTAGCTTGATGAAATCAAAAAGTAAAAGGATTGCGATCAGGATACATATCAGTGGTGTTCATATGTAGCTGCGGTCCATTTTTATTGAGAGGATGGACTGAAATCTTTCGTCTTCATATGTTAACTTGTGCAGTTCATCTAAAGGAATTCTGTCCTATTTTAGGAATTTAACTATTAGCACAGAATACTAATCACAACAAGAAGCGAAACGGAGGGCTTTTTCGCAATCCAAATTTCTTTGCGCATGTGCGAAATCGGCCATAGTGTTAGTAGTGTTGTGTTGATGCCTTGTTTGTTTATATATTGAGAAGTGTTATTGTATTGTATTGAGAAGTTATTTAGTTAGTTAATTTAATATATTTGTGTAATAAACTTATTGTGATGGCTGCACGAAAGGGAGGATTTTATTGTGTTGTTCGTGGGTGCCCATCGAAAACTGGGGAAGGAATTAGTTTCTTCAATACCGACTGATCGTAGCAGGTAAACAAATTAAATTTTAAATTCAAACGTATTACAAATGTTGTCTGAATGTTTATATTTTAGTTAAATACACTTTTTTTTTAGAGCTGAATTGCATACTAATTATAGAATGTGCGAGAAACATTTTGAACCGGTGTACATGTACAAAGGAAACACACGGAAGTATTTATTTCAACAAGCACATCCAACGATTTTCTCACACAGCCAATATTCAAAACACACAGACGAACCATTAAAGAAAGTCATAAGGCTGGAAGGTAGATACTTTTTATTTATTCACAATTATAGTGCTTTATTATAAAAGTCATATAAAAATCAGTATCTACTTACAACTATATACAAAGTTGTTTTTTGTTTTTCATAATATAAACAAGATCTGGAATTGTGAAATTTAATGATCTTTTATCAGCCTTATTAAGAACATAATATATCTTATGGTTACATACTGAGTAATATTTATGTTGTGGTTTTAGGTACCACTGAAACCTATAATGTATAGGAAGTAATTAATAGTCCAACTGATAAAAACCATAATATTATACCTGATACTTTGATGGAAGAGTTTCTGGTAACAGGTAATTTTATTTATTGCTACAACTGTATTATGCATTCAACTAATCACTAATAAGCATTAACATATCTACTTTGAACGTTTATATGTTATTTGGTTATTAAATATATTTTTATATTTCAGATGTTAATAGGCAGGAAGTGTCTAGCCCACCTAGGCCCCATACTCCAGCTCCATTTTTCACAGCTGCAACACAAACCCCCTCCAAGTTGTCGGAGGTACACCAAGAAAAAGGAAACTTGTATTGAAAATAAAAAAATTGCGTGCAAGTGCAAAGAAAGCATATGCGTCTTCCAAACAGAAAGAAGACAATAAATCTTTAAAAAAATTTTTTCAAATGTGTGACAAATTTTTAAACAAATCCCTAGCACAAATAGTGAAAGCTCAAGCAATTTTAAAAACTAAATGTCCAAAAAGTAGAAGGTATTCTGATGAATATAAACAATTTGCATTAACACTATATTTTTTGGGCCCAAGAGCGTATGCTTTTATGGAAAGAATATTGTATTTGCCCTCAAAACGAAGTCTTCAAAAAATTACTGAAAATTTGGTCTGTAAACCTGGTTTGAATAATGACCAAATATTTGATGCCCTAAAGTTAAAAGTGAACACAATGTTAGATCAGGACAAGCACTGTAGTATTTGTATTGATGAAATGTCTATTAAAAGTAATTTATTTTTTGATACAGGTCGTGATGAGATTGTTGGTCTATATGATATAGGAAATGGGAAAAAGGAATCAATAATTGCACAAAATGTACTTGTGATAATGGTTCGAGGCTTATATTCAAATTGGAAACAACAACTAGCATATTTCTTTGTAAACACTACCTTTGAA